CAAGTTAGCAGGCTACCAAGCCCGAAACCCCAAACTCAGATGGTATATAATGCATACAGGAAGTAGACAATAAGTGAACATTATAGAGGCTCTCTCGAGTATTGTACAAGTTTCAGTTTAAAGGGGGAGAGTGAGGAGGGGGAATCTACCCTACTTTTTCTCTTCATTTTCGAAATTTTAGGGACTAGGGAGTGCGTTTTGAGCCCAGATTGAGCCTATAGCACAGTTCAGGATTCCAGGATCAAATCAGATCAAGGATCCAGATAGCAAGCAGGAAGCTCCCAATTGTAATGATCACGGTCCGTACACCTTGAAATCTATGGGTCTCGATCCTAATATGTGGGGGAGCTCGATCCAAACTTAATCCGGATTGAACGATAAAGTATACAATACCAAGCTCCATCTTGTTAAAAATCGAGGCCCTGAGAGCATTTAATTAATATAATAGTCTACTATACCAAGCTCCATCTTGTTAAAAATCGAGACCCGTGAGAGCATTTAATTACTATAATCGTCTAGTATACAATGTTGCACTACTACCGCACTTCTATAGAATAATATGCTCTTATACCATACTACAACACTGCTATATGGTAAATTCTACTGAACTATATTATATGCTACTATACTTTAAATTTACAATTCATAAGTACAGAAAATATATTATTTCATACCACACTGTTAGACCATGCGTCTGTACTATACTGCTATAGTACTATAATATACCATGCTATTATACGATACTATATTTGCCAAACATAACACTTCAATGCTAGAGAATCTGGATTCCTTATAACTGATATCGATCCTTGATAAGAAGGATCGAGATTCGAAAGTTCAAAAAACCGCAGAAGAGAAAGATTCATTTCCCTAGGGTGCAGGAGTAAGATTCTGTAGTAGAATCGACCCTTTGTAGGAAGATAGTGGAAGTATGGTCTATAGCTCGATTTATGCCATGACCATCTAGTAGGTACATTAAAATTTAGGGGGAAAAACCTCAGATTTGACAAATTTGAGATATCCCAAATATGCCAAGGGTTTGCCCAAATCAGCAACTATGTGATTTCTTCACAATTGATGGTCGATTTTCAATTAAATTTGATCTCTAAGCCAATTTCTGGGTTTTTATCCACCCAAAGGATTGTTTTTAAAAAAAAACATATATAGAAAATTGGATTCAATGGTTTCAAATTTGGATTTCCTATTCATACGAATAGTCAAGAGCTCAGATCTCCAAGATCGGAGCTCAAAACCTAAAACTAGTTTAGGAGTATCATTTGGTTTCGTCTGAGGAAGGTTCGATGAGAATTGAAGGTTGTCAATTTGCATCAAGTGCAAAGATCTAGGACCTAGGATTTCTACTTGAATCTTTCTGAGGAAGGTTTGACGAAAATTGAAGGTGTCAATTTGCATCAAGTGCAAAGATCTAGGAACTAGGACTTCTACTTGAATCTTTGCATAAGTTTCTTTCTTTCTTTAAATCCAAAAAATTTTCCTATTTTCGAAGAATTTAATTGGTCCGGCGTTATTAAAATTATTGTTGCATTTTCACATAAATGCTTAATATTCAATTTGTTTTTCAATTTCCTTTCACATAGGGAGAGTTTTTACATGTATGCAAAGATAATATTCTATGTATTATAATGCTTTATTTTTTTAATATAATGAAAATTATTAGAATGTTTCAACTGTTTTTTTATGCATCTAGTGTGCTATATAGCCTTGGTGACTACTGGTTAGGGACCACAGAAATAGGGACTGCACCAAGGATCACAGAGATATTTGGGAGGAACCCCCTCCCCGACTCAGAAGGTCCCCAAGTATTTCCACAACACTTTTAGAACTAGACGGTAGAGTCCCTATATTATTTCTAGTAGTGCTTCTATGAAACCGAGTTCATGTCTATGAGATTTTAAGGCATGGACTCTACACCCTATATCAAAAGCAATGTATTAACTTAATCTTTAGATCTTAGTCTTTCAATGTCTAAGTGGAAATTGATAGGAATGCCAAAAAAAATTCCAAATTACAAAACGTTACATTGGATTATCAAGTAATTTTCAACGAGTAGAACCCAATATCATGAAATTAATATAATTTTACATCTTTTATATATATTTTTCATTCTTTATGATTTTTTCAATTTTTTACCTTTTCTCTATTTTTTCTATTTTTGGAGATTCTTCCCGACCTTATTTGGCTTTCTTTTATGGCCTTTATGAACCATAGTTACCGAGATCTCCCAACCAAGGGGTCAATCCTACTCCGGAAGCTCGTTCCGAAACTCCGAGACACGGGATCTCAATTCCTGGCGTTTCTTTGATTTAGTGATCTCGATCTGCAAAATTAATCTAAATCCATAAATTAAGGATTTAGATCCTGAGTTAATGGGATCCATATCCCTATTTTCAAAATCATGGTTCCATGAGTAACGGCAACCAAACACCTGCATTTGGTGTATGTGTGTATCACTAACCCAACATCGACCAACCATCCTCAAGGGCGGTCAAATAATAGATGAGTTCCAAGGACCTACATTCACCCAAGAACATGGTTTATCTCCACTGTCCAACTTGATAACATACACTTGGTTGAGTACATGTGTGTATTACACGACTCATAGGATGTGCAACCAAACACCTGCATTTGGTGTATGTGTGTATCACTAACCCAACATCGACCAACCATCCTTAAGGGCGGTCAAATAATAGCTGAGTTCCAAGGACCTACATTCACCCAAGAACATGGTTCATCTCCACTGTCCAACTTGATAACATACACTTGGTTGAGTACATGTGTGTATTACACGACTCATAGGATGTGCATTGTATGAATTTGATAGTTGAAAAAAGGTTCCTTCGCTGTATTGGAAGGACATGATGGTCTCTATTAAATGCTTCCTCTTTGTACCCGCTTCTTGTCATTTCACCGGTTTCAGTTCACCTCTAGTAAGGGAGATAAGAGACTTTATTCTTGTCAGATGAGAGAGAGAGAGAGAGATCTCACAATGTTCACCATAGAGGAATTCGAAGGACACTTTAGTTTCTTTCAGGCCAGAGGATTTGAGACTCACATCCTCGTATTGGATTTCAGTTTCACTTCAAATGTATGAAACGCACTTCAATGATAACAAGAAGTCTTATTTAAGGGAACTCCAAGATGATGTATGCTTCAATCCTAAGCTCAATGGATCACATTCCCATATTGTTTAGCATTCGCTCCTGGGCCAATTTAGATTGCACTCACGTAATGTTGGGGAACTCAATCTTTTTACCTCACAATGTAAGGATCTCACCCCTCGTCTACAAATCTTCGAGCCTCCCTCAAACACACAGTCCCACATTCGATTTCCTGGTAACTATGTTATGAACCATGAGCGTATTCAGGAAAGTTCGAAAACCTTGGCCTGAACCAATAGCTATCCAAGAGACAAACTTCAGATCAAAGGTTAAGGAAACACCTTTCCCATTGCATTGGTAATTTGATCTAACTGACATCAACCATCCTCAATAGCATGCCTTACTTTTATCAATGGCAATCAATAGGCACCCAATTTAGAAAGAGTCATAAGCATTTGCATTGTTCAGGAATCGTACATTTATACTTCCATGAATAGTAAAAAACATCGTTTGGTGAAAACCAGTTCCTCATGAGTAAGTCCCGCGTTTCTGTCCAGTACTTACTTGAAAATGGAGAATTTCTTTCCCCAGCCTACTTGCAAAAGAAATAATTCTTTCCCCAGCCCAGTTACAAAATAAATAACCTACTTTTTCCACATTTATGAATATAGTTATAGAACATCCACAACGGGCCCCAAAGCTCCTTCACTGCAGTAAAGTAAATTTGCAAGCCTAAAGAGTATAGAAGACTCTGCATCAAGTCAAAATCCCATGATAAATGAAGCCGCAGGACTTCAAATTCCCATCAAGTAGAACTACTCATGGGATTAGTTACTCAAGCAAACTATTTTTACAGGTCAAATAATAAACATTGAATCAGACCTAATGCAAGCCACATTAGTCAACACTTTTGGCACATAAGAGAGTCAAGGGACCTCATTCACCTTTGACCATCGTGTCAATGATTGGGGAATGATAAGAACAAGTATAACTTTAGAAAATGAAAGGGCTGGAAATAGGATAACACAACATGAACTGGAGTGCTTATCATGTCTGCAAGTAAAATGAGTCTAGTTGCACTAAAGGGGGATAAAAAGAAGTGGCGTGAATTGCATCTAACTCATATCTTCAAACACAGCAAATTTATATCTAAGTTGAGAGGGAGCGCCGTGCAAGAAAGGAGTGCAATTACCTGAATCCTAAGAAAATGGAGAATTTATGCTAGTTTCTCTTTTTCCAAGCATCTGTATGATTTCCCCAAGCATTTGAAGAAAAAGTTTTTCACAACTTCGTAAAATTGACCAGTTTTAGAGATGGTAGGGTGTCCATAAAAAAAACCAAAACTAGTTCTATGTTATGCCAAGTCTTTTAGAATGAGAACAACAAATAAGGACTTAAGGCATATCATTGCTATACAACAGAAGCCACATATTCACTACTTACACTATAGAAAGTTCAAACAGTTAGAAAATTGCAAGGACAATTTGAAGGGTTCAAGGAACTACAATATTGTTAAATAATCAAGACACATTTGTAGGGTCCAGAGGTCATCTAAAGAGCTATTGTTTCAGGATTATCATAATTAACATTGGAAACTATAGACATCTTTAAAAAAAAAAAAAATGAAAGTAATAAACATCGTTAACAATAAACAAGCAACATAGACTCTGCACGCACAGGCTGGGTGGTCATTAGTAACATCCTCCGACCTCCAAACAGTACTTGAAAAAATAGACTCATTTTTATAATGGAGGTAACATTCCCATAAAATGGAACTTCTACTTCATGAGAAGATATAGAAGAGATAGAATAGCAAACAGATACAAGTAAATTACAAGAAGCAAATGAACTTATTTTTCAGATAAACAAGAGATAAGGAGATCAATCACGCAAAGAGGGGTACATAATACTACAATGAGCTGCAACAACAGCTTTTTCCAATGTAATCCAGATCTTATCCAATTCAGTAAAGTCTTGCAAAACGTCACCTGGTCTTTGAGGTCTATTGTGAAAATTGGGCGAAAAAAATATTTGATATTCATCACAAACTATATTTTTCTGCTTCATGGTGAACTTAATACAAGACACAATGTATGTTTACTTCACCACTATTATGTGAACAAATTACATTGATAATGCGGTTGATGAAATCCACAATAAATCTTCATGAAGATTTACTGATTAGAATATGGAACCATCGAGCCTTATGAATTTATTTCTGCCAGAAAAAGCTTTCTCTTGAACCCCTTCCTGTAATGTAACCTTGAGGACAAACTATATAAATTTAATTCAAAACTCCTTTAACAGGATACAAAGAGTTAACAATAGAAAGTTCCATATTCTCACTGCTGACTAAGTGACACTTGAATGTGCTTGGACAAGAGGAAAAATGAGATAATGAAAGATGCATTTGGAAAAAAAATAAAATAATCTCATTACCTTCTTTAATAAGTATTTCATTTTAAAAGAACGAAACATCAAGTCACCAGAGATAGGTCACTTTTCTAGCTTTGATTTGTCCGCATCCATTCCACATAATTGTCCAATATCAAAGGCCAAGCAAGGTCTGGGTCATAATTTTTAAAATCTGGGAAACTGATCTGCAAGAGAGAAACAGTAATATCACATCAGTCCAATTTACGGCCATAAATAACTTAAATTACTTCTGAAATTATTGACCAACCAGAGAAAAAATTTAACTTGTGTTGCCAACTCTTAAATACAATTATGCATAAACAAGTTAACTTCAAAATTATTTCTAGAAGTCTGCTCTCGATAACCCAACAGGTGTCAAAAAGCAATATATATGTTTAAGCGTGGCCAATTAGAAAAAATACGTACCTCATCAAAAAATCGAAGAAAGCCCATCCATTGGTCCATATTGATCACCTTGTAGTCTTTTTGAATCTATCATGATTTCCAGCACCAGATTACACATCCCATTATGTCCTCAAAAGAAGACCCATAGTTCCTTTTTATGAACATATTCAAGGGGAAGAGAATTGGCTAATCCAATGCCCTACACGTACTTCTCCAAATGCAAAGATAACTAGAAGAAAATTGAAGATAGAAAAGCATAACAGCCAAGAGAGCACCCACAATATTCAATAAATTATGGGAACCTTAGCAAACGCAGATATTAACTGATTAAAAAACAGTGGACACGAACCTTTAGATACTTGATAAATGAATCCACCTGGTTGCAATAACGTGAACCTAGAACAAGTTCCAGCAGCTCACAAATACTTTCAATGTCTATGCTCTTCTGCTTCTCTTCTGATATACAGCAGCAAACATATTCACAATATGAGTAACAATACCACGTCTTTGCCTTACAAAACAATATATTCATCAGAAGATTCACCTGTCAGGCAATAGCGAAACGCATACGAATAGAAATCCAAGAATGTCTGGGGCTTTGCAACCTTAAATACAATAAAAAGAAGTATTAGCAACAACAGAACCTTCATAAGTATAGGTTATATCCTTACTAATATCAGCCCTGTGTAGCTGTTATGGCAGGAGGTATCTGGGGTTAAAAGCTCATAGATCAAACCCTGTTCTACCTCTTGCTCCAATGCAGAGAGGGCCTTCTTTAATTTTTCAATAGAGTCAACTCGCAATGCTTTAAGGCCTTTTCGCCATTCTTCCTGTTGCAAGGGAGTTATTAGAAGATAAAGTTTTGTCCTTATCATAAAAGAACTTTGCTATTTGAATTTTTAAATAGAATATAATGTTCAAACAAAAAGAACAAATGTAGCTAATAGCAAATACTAGTCACAGAACAGAAGCACAGAAGTAGAGAGTGAAAATGCCATGGTACTGGAAAAACACACACCAGAGTAAAGTATCCTTGTTTTGCAGCTTGCATCTTCCTGAAAGACATCAACAATTTGTAAGTCTTCCAGTGCCAGTTGAAGAGATAATTGAAGAGATAATTCATAGCCAACTGAATAAAGCTGATATCTAGGAACAATACTCAGTAAAAGTAGAACATCATATGTTACCAGGCAAGCATAAGTATCCTGACATCGGTATAATCCACTCCCACATCTGAACACAGCGACTCTATGCCTTCTGGGCTGTTGAAGAAAAAGACAGGTATATTAGAGGTTTCCAATGTTAACATAAAGGCAATGCACGATGCCAGTTAAACAATTCTTCCTCACCCTCATTAGACTTACATAGCTGATCCCCTGTAGTGCACTTTTTTTTTAATATGCCTCGCCATTACTACATTTTACATTAACTTTGCCATCTTCTAAAACTACTATTAACTAAGTTGTGACCTACCAAAAAATTTGGATCATCAAACATCAGAGGAAGAAGAGGCCAGACAATGGAATATTGGAAAACCTATATGCTTAACATATAGGTGTCAAATCATATCCATCCTCATACTAAAACAGGGTAAATGATATAAAACGTAACAATAACATAAATAAATTATAACATTCTTCATTATGATGTGGTATATATGTATCAATTTGTTACATGCATATATTTTGTACCATACAAGCTGATAGATATATTTATCAATGTATCGACAGGATACTCTGACCCATATCCTTCACTTGGATTTCGAGAAATACGGGAGTCATATCCCCAATATTAACATACTCTCCAAATTCTCAAACCTGAAACTCTTTTACACAATAAGACATAATAGCACCTTGTATGCCTCTCCAGGTTCACCAAGAAGAAGGAAACTTGCTCAAACAACGATTCCACACGATGAGCCAGCTAGAAATCCAAACAAAAAAGCCATAAACTTAATACAATAAGGATCAAAAATTTCTTTATGAATATTATTTATCATGGGACGTTGCCATCTAACAGAAGGGGCTTCTCAACCACAAGGGCCATCGCATCATTAACCTAATCATATAGAGGTGAGTATAATGGAAATTGTTTATATAAATGGATCTCTGCCCTTTGTACATTCTTAAACACAGAGTAATATAAAGTTTAGCTTAGAATTATTAATTAAAGTAAGACATTGATCACCAAATACAGATACAAAATCATCATAAAACCCAATGGGAACAACTAATACCCTCATTCAACAATAATAGAGGCAGTCACGTGCACGTTATGGACTGAGACAACGACTCTTCGAGAACTACTTTAAAGCTTCTTAGGCATGGCCTGCTAGCATATATGTCGTATGGGTTAATAAGACATGTTGATGATTGATCTGTCCAACTACCCAAACAATGTTCGGGTTATGTGGCCATCAAAAGCTTTATGAGAGCATATAATGGAATTTCATATAGTGAAATGATTAACTTCAATGGAAGCATGGTCCGGAAGGACCAAATATCGCATTTTTGATGCCATGATTGTGCTCTCGTCATCTATTGGCTGACTTTGATAGACCAAACATGAATCCCTGCGAGGGGTTGTGGGAAATGGGTTATATTGAGTCACCTTGAGAAGATGACTGTAGGGCAAGTTTACTAGAAGAGATGGAGTGCCTTAGCATATTCACATTATTCTTGACCCGTTGCATCCAATCCCTATTAAAATTTATTCTAATATGTTGGAATATATTTTACTTGTATTATAGAATATTAAAATGAATTTTTAAAGTACATTGTATATTTTATTTTATCAAAACGAATTTCAAGATAGCTAAAATTATTTTTCAAGATTTTATAAATACAGAGGCATTTTAAAAATGCTAAATGGATTTTAAAAATTATTTTATTATTTTTTACAATACATTAGAGCATGTGGGGATCTTAAACTTTCCTTTAACCAGTCTCAAGCCCCGGTAAAGGGGGTGGGTTGTATTGGGTAGGCAGCTAAAAGGGGTGGGTTGTGTTGGGTAGGCAGCCAATGTAAAAGTTTGCAACAACTTCTCAAGAATCCGGAAGAGCAAAATGGCGGACCAGGATTTGTGTAGCCAACCCCAACTAGTTAGGAAAAGGTTCTGTTGACAATGATTGGACCATTTGGGGGCCCATTTGAGATGAAGACCTACCACGTGGAACCCATAATGGTGGGGGAGTGGGGCCCACATGGGTGGCATGCACCACCTCTTTTGTCCCCTCTCTTTCGTTCTCATGTCATAACTTGTGAGAGAAGTTTCAAAGATTGGAAGAGAGAATGGCTGATTGATTTCAAATATAGAAAGTGTTTAGATTGATTGGAATCATATAACATTAACTGAAATTATATGACACATTGCCTTATTTCGTATAAATCAAATTTTTGATGCGATTAGGGTTAAGGAAACTAAGGGATAAGGTTCTAGCACATTCATTTTAATCACGATGGGTGATCTAAGGAATGCATGGGTAAGATCTCTTCACCCCACAGGTCACCTTTGATTGACAGTTGAGATTGAATCTCCATAAGGATGGCTAACCCTAGACCCCAAAACCCTAGTTTTGTACTATAAAACCCCCCCAAGCCAAAGGGTTCAATGCACTCAGTGTTTCAAAACACGAACCGCCCAGTTCCTGGGTATTCGAGGAGGTGGTCCAGAAAGCCTGGCACATCGCCCAAAACTAGGTGTCAAAGTCCTTCGCATGGTTGATAGTGAGAAGGCTTCTATGGGCTACATATATGAGACCATGGAGAAATGCAAGAGAGAGAGCCCAAAATTTAGACGATGATTAGAACCATTATAAGTCTGTTTGAGAGATTATTGATAAGAAGTGGGATAGGCAACTACATCGGCCATTGTATGCAACTGGTTATTATTTGAACCCAACTATTTTTTATGTTGTTAGGGATATACACACAAATGACACAATTATGATTTGATTTAATAAGTATGTAGATGTGCTAGTCCGTGATCCAGATATCCAGGATATTATATGTGTTGAGAAGCTGATACAAATGCACATTAAAGTCTTTTGGGAGTCCAATGGTGATGAAGCAAAGGACCAAATTCATTCAGGTAATAATATTCTTAGGTTCATCAAGTTCAATTGTTCAATTAATCAAGTTTCATTTATATAATTCCATTATTTCTTTATGATTTTATGTTATATCTTTATAGTCAATTGGTGGAGCAAAAACATGGGAGTAGTGCTCCAAATTTATAAAAGATGGCCATTCGAATCTTAAACCTAACCGCTACCTAGTCACGTTGTGAGTGGAATTGGAGTATTTTTTAAGTGGTAATGGTAATTCGTATTAGTAATTTAGTACTTTAATAGTTATTAGTTTTTGATTGTTTTGTAGTATTACTATTATATATTTATATTAATTAGTTTCATTTGATTTTGTTAGATTCATACAAAGAAAAGGAACAAACTTCACTCAAAGAGGCTCAATGACCTAGTCTATGTCATGTATAATCGATTCTTGAAGAATAGGTTTGCTAAGAGAGATAAGAGAGATCCCTTTAGATCAAAAAATATGGACAATGCTATGGAATGATTGGTTGATGATGATCAGGTTGAGGTACATGAAGGATTGACATGGGACATGGCCATGGATGCTTCAGGGACATCAGTTGATCCTCCTAGGGCCACTAGATCTTCTGCACAGAGGACGAAGGTGGAGGAAGAGAAGGAAGCAGAGGCAGATTCAAAAGAGACAAAGGAGGGGGACCATTATGTCGAGCAGGGAGATGATGACAATGATGGCAACAACTTCGATGCATATGACGCACATGCAGCTGACCCTAACTTTTATGATGATGAATGATGATTGAACTTTGAACATTGATTGAAAAATATTTTGAGTCTTCAAGTATTTCTTTAATTTTTGTTTTCCTCCTCTTGGTTGTGTTTTGTGAATAGTGGATTTGTGGTTCCACTGGTTTGGTATTTGGTAACTTTGGTAATTTGCTTGATAAATTTTAAGTTTCAACTATGGGTGTGATGTGGATTGTGGAGTGTGGAGTGTGGACTATCAATCAGACTATGGATAATTCATAATTCATCATTGGATATGGACTTATGGTTATGATCTTATGGAGTGTGTGCTCCTATGTGTTGTGTAGTATACTTTTGAATTTTAATGTGCCCTAAATCCTTGATTCTTATATTTTATACAGTTATATTTATATTGTTAGAGACTATAGAGAAATTTTTCTTTCTACTGGGTCGCCCAAGTTTTGGGCGCCCACCTAGGCACTGGGCGGCATGGACCCCCCAGGGCGTCTTGGACCCCCTAGTGCTTTTTGAAATACTGCATACGCCCAATGGGTTTCGCTTCCTAAGACAGCTATCTTATATATATGTTGTGCAATGGTTACAATGAGGATTTAGCTCTTGTCCACTTAAGCCCTCCAATCGCACATAAGGGTCACGAAGTCCCTTGGCCAACCACCATGATCATCTCTCCAACCTCATGAAGCGTTAATCCTACAAATGCCCAGGGCTACAGTGTTTTAGACTTTAACTCGGCCTAGCTCCTCAAGCCTAGTCAAGTCATGGCATTAAAAATGTCAACTTTGGTGCCTTTAGACCATGCTCCCACTGGAATTAATCATTTCACAATATAAAATTCATTACATGTCTCATAAGGCCTTTAAATGACCACATAACCCAAACATAATGGTGATGTGAAACAAAGCAACCCTTTCTTTAACCTCAGTCTCCGTAACATGCTTGCCCAACGGATATTAGTAGTGCCTCACCAATTCATATCGCAAACCTCAGCTACAGAGCTCAATGAACGTTGCATGTTTCAACCTTCTCCCAAGATCTAATAGACACATCTAGTAACCAATTGAACACATTAATAATTTCTCTCAAGAAGAAAAAGACTCGTCAGTTCGTATCTCAAACCTCAGCTATAGACCTTAATGAAGGTTCCCTTGGTTCAACCTTCTTCTTAGATGTAATTAACATACATAGGATCCAATTAAACACATTACATATTTTCTCTCAAGAAGATAAAAAACTTTCCTTGCCACGAACCTGAAACAAAAAAGCTCAAATGTCATTTGGGTCATCTTTCCCCTCCAACCACCATCGAGGGTCAAGCATATCATAATAACAAGTAGAAAAATTCATCCAGTTTATCCAGGAATCTGGAAGAGCTCCATAATTTTTCGTGATTATATTGTGCTCTTTTAATATTCTGCTTGTTTGTCTATTTATCATTGGATACTAGT